GATATCTCTCCTTCTGCCCTGGAATATTCACATTTCCTATATCCTCCTATAATAAGTTCCCTTTCACAATTTTTACCGTGCTTATTTTTAAAGTAGTGTGGTGTGTTCCTTCGAGCGGCATTCATGAAAACCCTTCGCACTCCACACTGTCGTTATCACCCCCTTCACCCTTGTGCTGGGAATGTTGACCAGTCTGTCATATCGTTACGTATCCTTCCCTGGGTCCTATCAAAGTCTCCCTCTTGCCCCGTCGGATCTGTCTGCTATCTCCCTAGTACATGAATTTCACTCGACTCTGGTCAACATTCCCAGCACAAGGGTGAAGAGGGTGATAACGACAATGTGGAGTGCGAAGGGTTTTCATGAATGCCGCTCGAAGGAACATACAACACTACATTAAAAATAAGCACGGTAAAAATTGTGACAGGGAACTAATTATAGGAGGTTATAGGAAATGTGAATATTCCAGGGCAGAAGGAGAGATAGCATAACTGTTTAGCACACGTTTGGTCAAAGTATGGGCTACACTTGTCTCTTGTGACGAGTTGTCATATGGTGCTACGAATGGCGAGACTCACTGACGATGCCGGCTAAACGTCTCGGAATGTACCACGTCCACAGTCCTACTCTGAAAATAATGATGCATAGAATGGACTCTGGACAAGGTGTGTTCCTCTAAGTCTTCCTACCAATATAACCGAGTTACAAAAACAAGTTCAGACAACTTCTACACAATAAATTTTAACTTATCTTCTTGCCGGTATTCCTTACATTCAATTTATTCCCTATTCGGTTTATTTCAATGGCTCCTCTAAGTTTTCAATTAGCTGCAGAGATACTATAATCAGCAAAACAAGAAGCGTGAGATCATTCAATCTCGTGTCCAGTTTCTGTCTTGTGCTTAGCCAACTCCGATTTTTGAACAGAACAGCCTCTGCAGGCGCTCTTGTGCTGAGACAACTTTTGTAGAATCCGAATACAAGTCTCTCCAACATAAAAGCGACCATATGAACACAATATTTTGTGGCAACCCGATCTGGATAATGGGTCTAATTTCTCTCTAAAAGTTGGCATAACTAAATAAAATGTCTTAGTTTCCCTAAAAATGGTTTTTATTCCCAATTATAATAGATATTTAGCAAGTGGGAGATAATGGTCATAATCAGATCGAGGAAATACTTGAAGAAAGTATTGCCGCTAGTTTCAAATAATCGCCTCGTCATTGGACCTCAAATGAAAATGTTTATTAACTATTATTCAGCTCATCTTAAGGACCGGTGACGATCACCTCCTGAGGGAGAACGCGGATAGAATAATGGAAATCATGTCCTACTATGCAAGTACCGGTCAAGTGAAAAAAATCCTCAGTTTAGGTTGAATGACAGCTGCAAGTCTGAAAAGTTCAGCATGTGGTAATGACGACTGACCTATTTCCTTATATTGGCTTAAAAATGAGGTAGCAACAGCATGGTTATTTAAAGGATAAAAAATAAATATCCAAAGACTAGGAATATAAGCACAAATAAACAGAATTACCACACTCCATATTAAGTAGCTTTTGCAGATTAAAAGGCGTATACGATTTTAATTATGTAGTTAAGAGCCAAAGTTATACGCCGAGAAAAAGTGTAATTGTGAAAAGAATTATTGAAAAGATATTGAGAGTAAATAGAGAAATATGATTTGATTATATTCCATACAGAAAACAGTCTCTATCATGTGAGAAAAATAATTAAGCATTGAGGTGCGTAAAAGAATTGCTTGAATTTTGCCCATAATGGAGTAAAAAATCATCTTGTTCATTAGCTGGAGTAAGCAATAGATAACACCCTATATTTTTTTCTTAGTAGGCTATGAATAGCATATATAGCCGATGCAAAGAAGTAAAAATGACATTTGTTCTGATGATGCTAACGACTCACTTGAATATAAGGCTCAACAAAAGAAAATTTTAAGAATGAAAGCGAAGATCAGGTTAGTCAAAAATGCGGAAAGACTAGCAAGACATTAAAATATGGTATGAAGAAAAAGTGGGTTTCGAAGAACTCATTAGTGATATATTAAGGTACGACTCTCCATTTCGAAGGGAAAGTTGGTTAGAAGGAATTCGTGATGTGGTCTCATATGAAACCGAAGAAGGATTACTGCGTGAGAAAGACTCTTGATTTGAGTGAAGAAATCCTTGGCTCACCGTCCTGCGATCCCAATGAAACTGTGCTGAGCTTTTGTCTGTACTGTGGCATACTGTGGCATTCTATACTTGACGAAATAGAGCAAAAATATACTAAACCAAGGGCAGGGTGCAACCCGATTCACCTTTTTATACACCTAACACCGCGATCTTAATGAGGCCTCCCATGATTTGGTTAGCAACTTCAACATTGCTCCACATGCTTGCAAATGAG